TTGGGAGTCGGGGTCCCCGCAGGTCCCTACGCAGTGGCCGGTGTGGCTGCGGCGGCTCCCGCTCCCTTCAAGAGAGCTCTGCACTTGGGACGAAACCGCGGCCTCAGCTGCTTCTGTGTAGCAAGAGCCAAAAACAATTTGACCTCAAATTCGATAACTTTGAAATTGTTTTCTTGTGGTTTGTTTATAAGGGTTTTCCTCCTGCAGATTTGGTACTCAACGTGAAACTACTGATAATTTAGACTGTAAATTTCCATGTATGTGTTACTCCAATTTGCATGAAATAACACGGTAGTTTGTTTTTGGCAAGGAATTAAGTAGTAAGAAAGGCTTGCTACTTGTTGCTGTGTAACAGTCTTTAAAAAATGCAGTGACCTGAAACAACAATAACTGTTATTTAACAGTTTATGATAGGTATAAACCCTGGAATGACAGAACTGCTGGCCCAGGCTCCTGAGGTTACAGTGGAGATGTCAACCCTCCTGGTGCCACATCGCAGTTGATTGGGAGGTTCAGACAGGAGAATCACAGATTCGAGGTCAACATGGGCAACATAGCATGACCTTGTCTGAAAATAAAACATAAAAGGGGTTAGGGAGGTAGCTCACTGTTACAGTGCTTGCCTGGTGTGTACAAGCTCCTGGGTTCAATTCAGTATCAACAAAAACAAATCACCTTAGCCATGGGTGGGCTAGAGGACCCACCTTCAAGACAGTTCACTCAGCCTAGTGCTGTGGCACTTGCTTCATAATACCAGCACTTTGGGAGGCTGAGACAGGAGGATCACAGGTTTGCCTCGCCTGGGCAATTCAGCAAGAACCTGTCTCAGAGTTGAGGATGTAGCTCAGTGAGAAGGTTTTGGTTAGCTTGATGATGAGAGCAAGACACTCTCACTCCTGTGGCTGCTAGTGGGAGGACTCAGTTCTTTCCATGTGGGCCTCTCTGTGGAACTGCTTTAATGTCCTCACAACTTCGGCTCTGGCTTCCCACAGATTGGGGAAGAGAGAGGTGGGAGGCACATCCTGACTGGACTCAGAATTCGCGCTATCTCCTCCACAGTGTCCTACAGTTATATAGGTGCACCCTACTCAGTAGGAGCCAGCCACCCCAAGAACCAGGTCCAAAATTATATGTGGCCAGGGATTTAGGTCAGTGGTGCCACACCTGCCTCAAAA